GCTGACCCTCGGGGATAAGGGAAGAGCCCCTGTGTGCAGGACAGGAGCTCAGAAGGTCCGGCTTCCCACTCACTCCACTCCACGGTGACGGGGCTGCTCCAGCTCGGGTGCTCCACCCGGCAGACGTAAACCTCTCCGCTCCGAGGAACTGTTTCCAGCATGACCAGGGTCTGGAAGGTCCAGTCCCCGTTCCGGATCAGGCCTGTGGACACCACCCCGTCCTCCTGCTCCTGGCCGTTCCGGAACCACCTGACTTCGATGTGGCCGGGGTAGAAGCCACTCACAGAGCACACCAGGAGGCTGTGGTGCTGCAGGGCCTGGGTCTTGGTGGGGTACACGGTCACCTTGGGCTCCACTGGAGGAGAAGAGGCCGAGAGAGGGAGTCAGGCAGGCGGTGCAGTCCTTGGTCTCCTGTCCAGGGAGGGACCCAGGTCCTCACGGGCCTCCTCACACCTGCCTGGGGCCACAGGAGCCACTGTCAGGAGCCTGCAGTTTAATCCTCTCAGCAGGGCCCACTGGGTTTGAAAAGAAATGAACGGTTTTCATAGCTGGACCTGATCGCTCCTCACTGAGGAAGGCGCTCTCAGGGCTTTCCAAGGCCAATGAGGAGGGATGAGAGGGAGACTCGGGAGCCCTGAGGAGAAGGGAAGCAGCCGGGAGCCTCAGTCCTCTGCACAGATGCCCTCTCTGCCTCCCTGAGGAGCCCCTCTCCCTACCCAACACACCTGTCTCTTGTCGGGACTGTGACCAGGTTATCCTGGTCTCTTTCTCCACTGACCCTTGGAGTCCGCAGCAGGGTGTCCGGGACTTAATAATATGTGTGCTCCGTGCCTGTTAACGTCCTGTCAGTGCCACCCTCAGTGATTCATTTTCCAAATGAGAGCATTTTCCCAACACCAGAGAATCACCGACAAGATTGCTGACAAATCCTTACTAACAATGCTGCCTCGTGTTTTATTAAATAAAATGTCTACATTCTTCACAGGAACACTATTAATAGAAATAAAGCAGAAATCAGAAAACTCTGAATAATATACAGACTTGATGTAAGAATATATTTGTATGAACAATAAAGAAATCCATGAGAAAACATTAAGACACCTGAGATGAAGTAATAGGTAATTTTTAGAATAATAGCATTTGCAAAATATTCACAAAATATATCAACAAGACTAACTAAAGTTAAAAATTAAAAACAATATTTTGGAATACAGGTGGACATCCCTATGAGAGCACTTCCAACTGGAAATTTATCCATATGGCAAAAATTTTGAATAAAATTTCTATGTCCTGAGTATATTTTTTTCTTGTCATTTTCCCTAAGCAGTCTAACAACTCTGTAGACACATTTGCTCTGTGTTCGGAATTTTATGTAGTTTAGACATGATTTGATATATAAGGGCAGATATACATACATTATATGCAAATATTCCACCGTTTTGCCAAAAACGCCAACCCAACGATGAAGGATAGTACTGTGGGCTGGGGATTTAGCTCCATGATTCTGGAGCCTGCCTCACAAGCACAAGGACACAAGTTTGATCCCTGGTACCAACAAAAAAGGTAAGATAGAACTGAATTTCTCAATATTTAAAAATCTTCTCTCCAGCTATGCAAAGTTATATGCACCAGGCAAGCCAAGGAGCCCTCAAGGAAGCCCTGGGAAAGCTCACAGGCCCCTCACCCCTG